ACAGAGTCGTACAATCCTATTCCGGAATTTGCACCATGATCTTGGGGACGTGGCGGGAATCTAGCTCATTCTGTTACAAATCCACAACGGTACTATTTCGGGGTCGAGCATACTCAGCTTCGATGTTCCTCATACTCCTATCTCCGGACATCACATTCGAGTCTGGTCCATCGGGCTCGAACTCGACCTCACCCTCAAGCCTATAAATTGGGTAGCCCCGATTTTTACCCTGTACATATTGTGTTTAAATGAATCCGATATCAAAGCGCTAAATCTGTCTCTGAAAGCGAGAGAGATAGAACCAAAGGAAAAGAATAATAAAACATTAATTATCTGTCTTTTGTTTAGTATGGTTACTATCTTCTAGGGCACAACAGGGGAAAGCTACATCTCGGCCAAAGCCATATAGCGGTGGCTGTTGTTCTTATTATATACAACTTGGAAAAAGCCATTTAATTAAAACGGAAGTTTCAGCTTCCCAACTTGTAGGTGTGGGGTATAAGATTATGACGTGTTCTCGAGGGCGGAGCTAGAGTATTCGGTATTAGTGGAACAAACAATTTTTGTTTAAATCTTGTATTCGTATTATGAAATTCATTAAAATATATAATTATTTAATTACAAATTCAGTAATATATTAAGATAAACTATAGGTACGATAACAAGATTGTAGTGAAGTGGTAAATACTCGTTTATTTTTAACCAAAGGTCTCGGGTTCAAATTTTAGGAATGAAATCGTCGTTTTACCATTAAAATGAGACTAATCCGAATTAGTCGAGCCCAAAATAAAAACCAGACATTGTCTCATTCCTATACCTAAATCTCAGCCTTTTGTTTTGAATTTTATTTTTCCTAGAGTCGATTATTTCTTGCTTTCTAACCCCCCCACCCCCACCCCCACCCCACCCCACCCCAAAAAAAAAAACAAATCAACTCTATGATCTTAAAGATAGGTCTAATGAAAATGGGAAAAAAACGCCAGCCATTTAGAAGATAATCAGCACGTATCATTCTTTCTAATTATGAAAATTTTGTGTTTTAGATGATAATATCAGCAGCCATTGTCTCATTCCTATACCTAAATCTCAGCATTTTGTTTTGTATTTTACTTGCAAAGTTGCATGCACTACTATCACTTTTCATCTATTTTCTAGTTGTTACATTGTTGGTATTATTTTTCTGGCCTCTGTGATTGTTACTGGTTTATTATTCTTTTGTCTTCTTGAGCTGAGGGTCTATTGTTGCGGCAAACGCACACGCAAGTATACGCGGTCGTCAAGTAATAAAGTGACTAAAAGTCAGATGTCGAACCCACGAGGACTTGTGATTAACTATTAACTAAATTAGACTATCCTAATTATCTAAACAAGAATTAAACCAAGAAGTATTTGATTCTAAACTAATTAAAATAAATAAAAACAAATAATGAACTTTGGACAAAGAATGAGCAGATTTTTGTGATATCAATGTAATGAAAACGATCTAGGGTTATGGGCTATCTAACATTCCTATTGTATTCTTCAATTGAATTAACTCACTAATTTATCTAGTTTGTTGGTTGACTGGGTTAATATTGCTCATAAGAATTTGTCGAGTTCTTACTCGCCTATTCAAGCTAACCTAACGCATATATGTCTATGGAGTTAGAATCAACAAGAACGCATTTATAATTCCTGTAAATCAACCAAGCAAGGCAATTAGGTATATGTCTATCCTAACCGCGAATCCGTTCCCCGATGCCCAGGTTCAAGAACTTGCTCTATTCAATCCTATATGCAATATAGAATTCCCACTTTCGAGTTCAACTCTAGATTCGTGGATAGTATTCAATTTGGTGATCAAGCAATCAAATAATTAAGTGCAGGATTGAATAAATAAACCAATATGATAAACTAAGAAATCAAAATCAATATCCGAATAACAATAGTCATGAAAGAACCACAACCCTAGAACGTGAAGTTTAGCTCCACATAGACATGGTAGCAAAACAACAAATCATACAAAGAAGCATAAAAAGACTAAGTTGGTGGAAGAAAAGATGAAACCCGGCTTCCACGGCAGCTCTGTGCTTGTGTTTTCCTCTCAAAAACGTCCTCCTCCCTCAAAATACCGTTTTTCCATGTATATATACCAAGTAGGGTTGGGCCCAAACAATTATACCTTCTCCAATGTGAAAAAGGACATTTTTCCCGGGTTTGACTAGCGCGGCCGCGCATCTGGACGCGCTAATGGCCGCGCTAGTTGGACAACTTTCTGTCCTGGGCGCGCTAAAACTAGCGCGATCTCGCATCTGGGCGCGCACTTTTCACCCTGTTCCGTTTGGAATTTGGAAAAACGTAAAACGTGAAAGTTGTAACTCTTTGAGTTAGCTTTCCAACCATATATTGTGGAGCCAAAATGGAGTTCTGAGCAAAAAGTTATATCTATTTTACTAGATAGTGCACAATATGCCTGCTCGATTCTTTGTTCGCTCTAACTATCATCCGTTGACCCCCAAACGCGATCCCGGCTTGTATCCTTGGGCTTTTACTCAGAATTCAAAGCTCCAAATCACTTGAATTCATTCCATAACATCTATATAGCTCGGAATCACTCCTACAAGGCATAAAACACACAGTTAGTGCAAGACACTAGCGATTAAAGCTCAAACTCAATTAAAGTGCAGTAAATTAGAGTGTAATAAGCGACTAAAATACGTAATTATAGCCTATCATCATCTATCGGAAACAGCCTCTCTATACTTTCAGGGTAGGAGTAAGATCTGCACGCACACTACTTTTTCCGAACTCTACTTATAAAATTTTACTGAATTGTTGTTGTTGCACTGCTGTCACTTTCCTAGGCTCTTAAAGATAAAGTCAAATGAAAATTGAAACAAAACGGTGCCAAGAAAAAAAGGAGAATATTTCTTGAATTTGAAAAAGGGTAATATGCATATCCCAGCCATGTGTCAGATAGTAGTAAATTATTGGTTCGATAAGATCCCCATTGTGTCATTCGATAATATTCTGCAAAATAAATAAATGCAAATAGTATTTCTTTTTCTTTTTTCAAAAAATAATGTGTATACACAATATGTCAATAGTCCTTGAAATATAAAGTAGGCATTTGGAAGTAAAAATTATAATTTTTGAAAAAAAGTTATATTTGGAGTTAAGTTAAAAAATGGTACTGAAAATTTGAAATTAATTTTGAACATGCATTTCACTTGAAAAATGTTGTTGAAAAATGTTGCAGGTTTGTGTTCATTTTCGAAAACTTTCCAAAAACTTGTAAAATTTTATAGACAAACATATATTTTTTTTAAGTTTTGAAAAAAGGAAAAAAAATTTGTAACTCAGTATTTCTGTTATATTTTCCCTCCTTAATGTAATTAAAAGAAATTTTGATAATGAGTCAATACCACTTCTATAAAATATTGCATATATACTTTAATGGTTTCTTTTAATAATATTTATTTTGATTCGATGAGATCATCGAGGAGATAAAAGGGTTGTAATGGCTAACCACATGTGCACTAGGATTCTCCTACAATTGTAACTTCTAGAGGATTTTCGTGTTGGACTCTTTTTGTCTATAGTCAAGTTGTATCATGAAAATTATTCTTTTTTTAATTTTTAAATTGAATATTTCAGTTCATCACCGACGATTTAAAAAAAAAAAATTCCTCTATCCTTAACCAAAACCCTAAAATCCAAAGTTTGAGAAAAAAATAATGTCTAGGTAAAAAGCAATTTAATGTTGTTAACAAATTTGCTTGACGCGAATTCAGCTTAATCGATTTAGTAAGTTTTGAGAAAAAGAAAAAGCAACAGAGGTAGGGGAGTCTTGGAGCAACGATAAAGTTATCTCTGTGTGATCTATAGGTCATGAGATCGAGTCGTGAAAGCAATCAATAACGATTGCATTAAGGTAGATTGTCTACATCACACCCCTAGGGGTCCGGCTCTTTCTCGAACCCTGCATTAATAGGAAGCAATTTAATTTACTTAACCTATTTACTTGGCATGAAATCAATCTAGTCGGTGTAGTAAGTTAAAACCAGACATTCTACCTATGTTGCGCAAATTTTCCAAAATACGATTGTTTCTATGTCTGATCCTCTAGAAAATACAACTTTTAAAGAATCTGATACACATCTAGTGACATTTTCAAAGAGTTCGATTAACATAGCCTTTCAGGCGGATCTACGGTGTTGGTTGCGAGTTTGGCCGAACCTAGTAGTTTTGGTTTAAATATTGTATTTGTATTAAAAAATCCAATAAATATGTAAAAATTATTAATTTAAAACCGAGTAACTTAAGAGGATTATAATCCCGAGCTTATAAGGCTCAAATCCTATTTCAGCCTCTGTAGCCTTTCACTCAGCCAGGCAGTGGCGAAGCTACATGGTCACAAGGGTGGTCAGATGACCATCTTTTGTCAAAAATTATATTGCGTATATAGGTAAAATATTATATTTTAGAGGTATATAACACATATGAGACACCCTTTGTCGAAATTTTTTTATCACTTTTTTCAAATTTAAATATTTTAAAAAAAATTCCTAGATTCGCCGCTACCGCTAGACACTTCGCAGATAATCTCTTTGCATATATGATAAGCAAAACAAGTTGAATTCGCCTTCTGCACGTGTCCTCCTTTGTAATATTGAAATTTTGATTTCTTTTTTATATATTTAACAGCCTGTTCTCATTTTCCTAGGAGATTTTCTTTGAACATCAGCAATACAAGGAATCTTTATATCTGTCCCCACCAATCCAAGTTACAAAAATTCCATATTATACAAAGCCAAACTGTTTTCATACTCCAAATTCCACAGCTTTAATTCTTACTAAAATGGCCAGTTTTCAATCTCTCTCTAAGTATAGAACTAAGTTCCTAACTTTATTCTTCAATATTAGCTTCCTTCTTATTATCTCTTGCCTTACATTCCATTATCTCTACTCTTCAAATTCCAACTTTTCTTTAAGTTCCACCTTCAAAAAACCAAACAAAAATGGCTATTTCTTGCAAGGAAAAGATATTGGTTGTAAAGGTATTGAAAAGTTCATTGGTAGAGAAGAAAAGTGCACTTATATTAAATCACATGATGGGTGTAAACCTAATGGTTATATATTTTATCTCCAACTTTTTTATTGCACTTTTAGCCCAATTCTTGGTTATTTGTTGCTAGCTCTTTGGCTTATGCTTCTTTTCTATTTATTAGGTGATACAGCTAGTAATTATTTTTGTTCTTCACTTGAGGGACTATCAAAAAGTTTGAAACTTTCCCCTACAATTGCTGGAGTTACTCTTCTTTCACTTGGAAATGGTGCACCTGATTTGTTTTCTAGTATTGTTTCTTTTATGAATGATGGTACAAATGATATTGGACTTAATAGTATAATTGGTGGTGCTTTCTTTGTTTCAAGTGTAGTGGCTGGAATTACAAGCATTTCAATTAGTCAATATGGTAGGAAAATCAAGAAGTCAAGTTTTATTGGAAATGTTGTTTTCTTGATTCTTTGTGTTCTTTGCCTTCTTGTGATTATTTTCCTTGGCAAGATTCACTTATGGGGTGCTTTGGCATTCTTTTTCCTATATCTTGTCTATGTTTGCTACATATTTATCTCCGAAATTTATGTCCGAGAAGAGAAGTGCTTGGATTCTGCAGAAACCCTGATCGATGATTCGTTAGTTTTACCAATAGCTTGTGACATGAAAAAACATCAAGAATTATCATGTGAATTAAGGGTACCTTTATTGGTGAATAAGGGTGAGATTCAATGTGGAAAACAAAGGAAAAAATTTTGTGTATTGAGAAAAGTTGGGTATGTTCTTGAAATGCCACTTGACTTGCCAAGAAAGTTGACAATTCCAAATGTTTCAGAGGAGAAATGGTCCAAGTTATTTGGAATTGTGTCAATCACTTTAGCTCCTTTGTTATTGGTTTTGATTTGGGATTTTTTTGGGCCTAAATCAAGTATTTGGGCCTATGGAATTGGTGGACTTCTTGGAATTGGTTGTGGGCTTCTTGTGTTTTTCACTAGTGATGGGCTTCACCCTCCTAAAAAGTTCAACTTTTTGTGGCTTGGGCTTGGGTTTTTAATGAGCATTACTTGGACATATATCTTGGCTGAAGAGCTAATTTCTTTGTTGGTTTCAATGGGCCTAATATTTGGTATAAGCCCATCAATTTTGGGCCTAACAATTCTTGCTTGGGGTAATTCATTGGGAGATTTGGTGGCTAATGTAACATTGGCTAAATCTAATGGGCCAGAAGGAGCCCAAGTTGCCTTATGTGGATGCTATGCTGGGCCTATTTTTAATACCTTAGTGGGCTTGGGCCTATCACTAATTTTCACAACATGGAAATCATTTCCTTCAAGTTATATTATTCCAAGTGATTCAACTATTTATGAAACTATTGGGTTTTTATTATTGGGCTTACTTTGGGCCTTAGTAATCTTGCCCAAAAGGGATATGAGGCTTGATAAATTCTTTGGAGTTGGGCTTTTGGCTATTTACTCTTGCTTCTTGTTCCTAAAATTTGCTAGAGCTTTGGGCTTCCTTGAATTTCAAGTGTCCCCTTAGAACTAAGTTTAATAACTTTGTAACAAAGTAGAATTTAAGATTTCAACTTGGGTGTAAATTTTTATAGATGTATTCACCCAAAGTATATAATGATGATGTATTATCTTGTATTTAATGACTTATGTTGAGAATCTTTGTATCTATGCTTATTTTTTCATCAATTATTATGTTCTTCATTATCTGTGGATGCCTAGAAAAAGCCAAAAAGGTAGTCCTAAACGGGGGCGGATCCAGTGTAATAGCTGTTTATTCCTGTGAACACATAAACTTTTGTCTAGATCTTATATTTATATTGAGAATTATTAAATGTATAAGAATATTTAGCCCGGAACCCTGTCTGTTAATGAAGTTACTATCGTATATTAACTTGAGATTTTTGTAGGAATCCATAAACTTAAAATCATGAATTCGCCAATGTCCTAAACCATATTTTGTGAAAGCTTAGTAGCTTATATGTAGATGCATTGGGCTATAATGCATATAGTTCAAACTTCAAAGCTTAATTTCTTTCTAATATTTTGTTTGCTTAATGTGTAATACATTTGTATTGTTGATGAGAATTTTTCAATTGTTCAGATAGTACAATTGATCTGGTAAAAAAAGAAATAATAATTTATATTTTCAAAAGTATAGGCATAGATATTACAATTAAAAAGAAAATAATGTCCACAATCTACCTCTCTTTGTTTATTCATAAGCTCTGCATTCTCCTCCCTCTCTTTTTTTGGGTAGGAAAGATATTTTTATTAATAAAACCACTAGAAACTATCATATAGTTTAATTCTTCCTGGTAGGGGTGTTCATGGTTCGGTTTGGATCAGTTTTTTCCTAAAAAGAAACCAAACCAAATAAGTCGATTTTTCAAATATTAGAACCAAACCAAACCAATTAAGTCGGTTTTTTCTCGATTCGGTTTATGTCGGATTTTATCGGTTTTTTCGGTTATTTATCGGTTTTCTTTAATATAAGACATACACTACCAAACACATATTCCGGAGACCATATTTTCAACGTAACACTATCAAATCAATTGGCCTCTGAGAAATCTATTATTTATTTATTTTTGTAACTAAACTTTTGTATTAATCACCTTTGAAAACTTTACAAAACCATAGCTAATCAGCACAATTAGCTATCTAAATTCTATCTTATCCTTAACTCTCTACTATGTACAAGCAGTTCTCAACTGAAAGAAACATAAAAAACTAGAAGCTTAAAACACAAAACTTGCAGCAACTCCTTAACTTTAGGTCCTGCTCTGACATAGCAGGTATAAGCAATTTCACGTACAATTGTTTCCCAGTTCCTATAGTTCTTGTCAAACACTCTTTGATTCCTTTCCCTCCATATACCATATATCAGTTTGAAGATTTGAGCTTGTTGTGATTTTCCTTTTGCACTTTGAATAACCCAGTCAATATGTTGATTCCATGTATCTGCTGTTTGCTTCCATTATAACCAACTCTGCATCTTCCTCCATATAGCCTTAGCAAATTCACATTCAACGAACAGATGTTCCCTTGTTTCTAATTGTATGTGACACAATGTACATGTTGTGTCCATTGTTAGTCCTCATCTCACTAGTCTATCTGTTGTAGCCAGTCTTCCCTGTAAATGTTGCCACATTATGAAGATTGCTTTAGGTCTAGCATCTTTCTTGAACATAAGGCATTTCCAGGTTGCTTGCCTCATTTCAGGGAGAAGCTGATGGTAAATAGAATTTGTCAAGCTCCTTGTAGTCTTGGCAGCAAGTATCAAGTGTAATTGTTTCTTAGCTTCCAATATTTTCCTAATAATCCAACTTGCTTGTGCTCGAATTGGTATCTCCATCAATGGCTTACCTTTAACATAGTAAGCATGAATCCATCTAATCCACATCTTATCTTGCTTATGAGCTACATCCCAACATGTCTTGATTTGAGTAGCTTGATTCCATAGCTTTATGTTGATAATGCATATCCCTCCCATTGACTTAGGCAAGCATACTCTATCCCATGCTACCAAAGCTTTCCTGGTGATTGTGTTGCTGCCTGACTATACATAACTTCTGCAGTAAGCATCTATAGCATTCAGAACCTTTGCAGGAATAAGGAATAACATTGCAAGGTAAGTAATCCCCACTCATTTTTAGTTCAAATACATAAACATTAGGTAGATTTAACACTAAAAATTAGGTAAAATCAAGGGATTTGAGCTAGACCTAGGGTTTAATGAAAACTAAGGTTTATTCACATAATTTGCCATGTAGTGAACTAGAAATCATATATTTGTGATCCTTAGGTGATAGAGAACAACTTCCTTCGAAAAATCTCGGAATCCGGGCACGTGGGCCCGGGGTCGGAACTTAGGAAACTTGTGTTAATGGTTAGGAAGTTGCTTAAATAGCTAGAATTCAACCTTGCAAGCCTTTATTTACTAGTTCTTACTTCGTTTGATTAGTTTGGGATTGTCCGGCTTCGAATTAAGGACTTGGACTCGTTCTTGGACATTGGGAGTGCACTTTGGAGCGAGGTGAGTATCCTTTCTAACCTTGTAAGAGGGAATTGTCCCCATAGGATTTTAAATGAGTAATTGTTGCTAAATGCGGGGGCTACGTACGTACTAGGTGACGAGAGTCCGTGCGTAGCTGCTATATGATAATTGTTCGGGTAGTTTAGGACCCACGTCATATCTAATTGGGGAATATCTCTTATTTTAAATTGCCAATATGATCATTTTGATTTGCTAGAGACTTGAGGAAATGAAAGGTGAACGTATGAGTTTGTTGAGCCTTGGTAGGAATTCCCTTGTATGTAATTGAGCCCTATGTGCTTTTCTTGATATTTTCTTGATGATTATGGATCGGGCCGATCGCCTCGGTGATAATAGATGCATCTATGGTTCGTGCCGCTCGACCCTCGGCAGTGCACAATTTGTTTTTTGTTGGAGCGGGCCGTCGACCTCGGCATGTTTGTGCATGATTTATATGCTTACGTTTAGTTATGACATGATCACTCATTTGATATAAAAAGGGAAAACTGGTAATTTAATTACGACAAGAACATGAATATGACTCTTCTATTAAACGTGTGTATTGGAGATCCTTCATGCTGTATATCTCACCTTATTATATTATATTATCTTGACCTTAGTACCATTCGAGTTGAGGCGAAGGAACCTGGACATATTTTTTGAGGAGCCGATCACTGCCAATGTCATGCTTGTCAGGGAATTCTATGCGAATCTCCCAGAACATAAGGACTACACGGTCACAGAGCGCAAGAGACCGGTCAATGCTTCTTTTGAGAATATCCGGACTCTATACAGGCTTCCTCCACCAGCTCAGGGGTACATGGATGCATACCAAACATACAGTGGAAAACATAATTCCTGGTCCACATTCACCGACACTATCTGTCAGCCGGGAGCCACTCTTCAGTGGTACAAATATGGGAATAAGTTCCACTCCTCAGCCCTCAAGTTTGAGGCCAAATGCTGGTTGTACTTTATCAATAGCAGACTCCTACCCTCAAATAACCTGTCAGAAGTGAATATCCCTCGAGGGTGCCTCATTTGGTGCTTCATGAATAATGCTCCATTTGATGTGGCCAGGGTCACACACGATGAAATGTTCCAGCGGGTCCGGGTTCAGAGATATGGGTTATACTACCCGTCTCTGGTCACCCGGTTGTGCCTTCAAGCCAATGTGCCGAGTAACCTTGCTTTAGATGGCCGAGTTCATGTGGTCCATCCTTTCACAGCTGAGAGGGTCACCACGGGCAAGGAAGTGGTAGCCGCTGAGGAATTGATTGGCCATGATTCTGATGATGGTGATGACGCGGAGGAGGAGGAACAACAACAGGTAGATGATGCTGAGGAGATTGTAGGTGATGAGCAGCCAGCTCAACCACATGCTGATGATGCTGTAGGCCCGTCTAGGGCCAGTCGGGGACAGCGGTTAGACCGCATGGAGCACGAGGTAGCTGAAATACGGACCTCAATGTCTGACTTGGGGATACGTGTTGATGAGATGGCCACCCAGCAGAAGAAATCAGAAAAACGCATCCTGGGTTGGCTCCGTGCATTGGGTAGGGCGTGCAATGTCGACGCCAGCTCTGTCTCCGACCAGGATTGAGCAGTCAGGGAAGTTCCCTTTCCCTTCTTTTGATTTACTTGGCCATGAGGACATGTCCTCAATTTAAGTGTGGGATGGGGATAGGGATACTTCATTATATGTTGTAATTGTAACAATTAACTGTTTTCTTTGGTTTTTTTGTCTTGCTTTGATTGTGTTAGTGTTAGAACAATAGTCATTAGGTAAGTGAAAATAGTAAATGACTTGTCCCGACGACGGATCTCTTTCGACGGGGTTCTTGAGGGACTAAGTCGAAGAAAAAAAATGGAATATAGAGACTCTTCCTGATGACGGATCCTTTAGACAATTTTCTTTGGGGAAGTTAGTCTAGAGAAAATACTAAAAGATATTTTATTTTATTCAGTTCACTTAGATTGCACCCGAGGTATCGTTATCTCTAATCCAACATCTAAACCCTCGGTTATGACTCTCGTCTATACTCCGGGAGTGATGTTGTTCAAACAACTACCTAAATATGCACTCTCTCTCAAGCAGATACATACTAAATAGGGACGGATAATTGAGGGCCCTTTCAATTAACCACAATCAAAACGTAGATGAACAAATAGAGATTAAAAACCAATTCAAAACTATATTAATATAACAACCAAGTCATCCCCAATGGGTTTCACCAAAATCTTAGATCAAAAGATTTAGCTACTCATAACAACGATAAAAACTACAAAAAAATTCATAGTCATTGATAGAAGAATAAAGTAGGGAGAATAAAATCGTTTTCCAAGTTGCCTCCTTGCCTCTCTTGCTTCTTCTCAAAAACTCGAACTCCCTTCTCTATTGGACTTGTTAAACCTTTTATAGTTTGTGTGGATTTGCTTGGACTTCCGAAATTGCCCTTTTTAAAACTTCGTTTCCGCCACTGGACTAG